TCTTTTGTATTTGTGATGGACTTGAACAATCTTCAAAAACATTGAAGTCTATTAATTTAAGATTTGCCTTTTGGAACGAGAACAATGCACAAAATTTGGAAATCTTTTAAAAAAGTGTGATAAAATTGAAACAATGCAGTTTTTTAGGAATTCAAATATGAGTAGCGGATTTTTTGATATTTGCGAAGGACTTGAACAATCGCACAATACATTGAAGTCAATTAATCTTAATAATTGCTCCTTGGAACAAGAACAATGCACAAAGCTTGGAAGTCTTCTGAAAAAATGTTCTAAAATGGAAACAATAGAATTATCTGGGAATAGGAATATGAGTAATGGATTTTTTGATGTTTGTGAAGGCCTTGAGCAATTGCAAGAAACATTGAAGTCAATTGATCTTAACAATTGCTCTTTGGAAGAAGAACAATGCACAAAATTTGGAAATCTTCTGAAAAAATGTTTTACAATGGAAGCAATAGATTTATCATATAATGAAACAATGAGCAATGGGTTCTTTTATATTTGTGAGGGACTTGAACAATCTTCAAAAACATTAAAGTCAATTTATTTTTGTAATTGCTCTTTGGAACAAGAACAATGCACAAAATTAGGAAATCTTTTTAAAAACTGTTCTAAACTAGAAAACTTATATTTAACAAACAATCCTAATATGAGAAATGTAGCTTTTGATATTGCTGAAATGTTTGGACAAGGAATGACAATCTTAAGGCGTCTTTCAGTCGCTAACTGTGGTTTGAGCAATCAACAAAAACAAAAATTGACAACTCTGTCTTGTAGGAACAACAAATTAGAGAATATTTTTTAGGATGAGGGATATTCATTTGTTTTTGCTGTTTTAGTTTTTTATATCTTGTTTATACAGGTAAATTGACTAAAGAAAATATTATATGCAATAAAAAAAGGATTGATAGAAAACAACTGGGTGCAGAAGAAATTGTCCACAAATAAACGGAAACCCTCTAAAATTAGACACAAAACACCTAGAAAAGGTTCAAATCATTAAAAATAGTTTAGAATAAATTTAATCCATTATAATTTACTTAAAAAATTAGGTATTGATTATCTGAGAAAATAGACATTAAGGAAATACAAGAACAGTAGTTTATTTAAAAGAGAAACAAATTTTTTCATATATCTTGAGTCAAACATCCAGTTAAGTGACACCAGCAAGGTATAAAATGGAGTGAATATAACGGAATGGATTGAGAGAATAGAGAGTGTTATAAATTAAATTTGATACGAAATTACAAAGCAATACAACAAATGCGTGATAAAAGGAAACAAAATCTTGTAAAACATCCAAGTTATGGTCTGAATATGAAAGGAGATGTAACAAAGTTACCACTGCAAGACTCTGGAAAGATATAAGAAAAACCCAACCCACAGCTCAGGAAATTCCACAAGAGGAACTACAGGTCCCAACATACTCAACTAAGGAAATTGATCAGTAAGCAATACCTCTTCAAAACTATCCATCATTACAAAAGAAGATAACAGAGTCATTGTAGTAGGTCTGAGTAAACTTGGTCATCTGTTTAGTAGCTAATTGTATTATCATCATGCTAATAATGTGAATATCCTGGCTTCAATCCCCACAGAGAGGAAATATTTCTTTTATATTTTTTTCTTTTGACTTAACATTCAGTAGCACAATATGAAAAACTTTAATTCAATTGAAATTTTGAACTCTATCCCCTTCAGAGGTTCTGTTAAGAAACTAGATGGGGAGTGGGTTAAAATGATCCACTTTTTGGTGTTAAACCCTAACCCAAACTCACCAGTTATCAAGCTTGTTTCCAATTTATTATTCCTAACATTCAGTTCAGCCCTGCGTCAACTAAAAAAGACTAAAATGAAAATTTTCCTAGCTGTTCAATTATCCAAAATATTAACCTAAATTTTAACCTACTTTCTCCCTTCTCCCTAAGATGGCAGCCATTTTGATTCTAGTCTAAAGCCAACTAAAAAATTAATACCTAGGAATTAAAAAAAAAATAGCTCCTCTAAACTGCAATTCGTAATTAAAATTAAGTTAACCTACTAAAGTGAAAGTGTCATTGACATAGAAAAAGAACGAATCTCCAATTCACAAACTGAATTTGTTTTTTATTATAAATTATGTAAACATTGTAAATTATAAAGTAATTTCTGGTGGCAATGTATAAATAATATATATAGGGATAAAAGGTTAGTAAAAGGCTTATAAATTTGTAGAATATTACATTTAATCATTGATTTAATGTTTTTATGGTATAAATGACACTTGATGAAGTCTTATTTTAATATTTACTGCTGGACTGCTCCTGTTAGAAGATAGATGGATAACATTAAAACCCTTATATTATTTATTGCCTGTTCCAATCAACTTGTTGGACTTTGTCTAAATTGTAATTTAATCTTAATTCGTTTGGTTAATAAAAATTTATGGAAATTACATAATATTGGTGTGACAGCACTGACTATTACTGATGTTCTTTTTTCAATTAGTCTACTTTTCTTTTATCTTGTTAATAAAACAGATATGAATTTTTACAGCTGTCTCATTTTGAATCAAACTGTTTTTATTATTATTGCCATATCATCCTTTACATTGATATTAATAATGTTTGAAAATTTTTTGGCTGTTGTTATACCATTAACTTTTCACAAAATATGGACATTGCAGACAGCATTCATCCTTCTTTTCCTCATATGGTTTATTAGCCTTGTCAATGCCTCACTTCCAGTTTTCATTTGGAATAACTATGAAATTATTAAGGAACAAAATACAACTCTTTACTGTGATACTACAAATGTTGTTCCTTTTTCATATCTGTATCTTTGGTCATTTAGTACTGTAATACCAAAAACAATCCATCACTCACCAATCTGGGAAGAGAAGATGCTTTGGGTATCAAAATTGAATTTACTTTCCTGAGGTATATCTAAGAAACTGATTTTAAGATAGTGATATTATCATACGGCATATGATTTGATAAGAGATTCATTAAATAATGTGAGTGTAAATTAAAGTTGAAAAGAATAGCCAAGAATAAATAAGCTATATAAAACATTTTACAATTTATTCCGATAGATGGTGACACTTAAGAGCACTCTTGTTGAAACAATATATTTATTTTTGTTTTGCTGTCACTATCATTGCAAAAACTTATGCTAAATTTCTTTTGGAGGGTAAAAACGATATTTAAACCAGAAAGAATAATTATTCTTTCTCTGAAATAAATCTGACAGCTATCATTCAATTTGAGTAGCAATAACCGTATCAGTTATATGAAGGAGATGCGAGTGGGATGGTGATTGGAAAAGAGAGATGTATTGTTTTGACTACATATTGAATAGGTTTTTTAAAACTTATCACTTTAAAACTTACTAGAGAATTCAACTGAATAATTTGGAAAGGACATTTATAAGATACATTTGGGTAAATTAACCAGATTCTTTTTTGATTAATGATATGCTATCTTCTCACTCTGACATGTTCCTACAGAATCTGATAAAGAACATTGCCTCAGAAAGAGCGGATGATGACACACAAGAAAACAAGAAGGGATCTCCTAACTGTGTTTTACTGTCTATGATTTAAAATGTTTTTAAATTGACTTGTAGCAAGGAAAATATTCTGAGTCCAGAACATGCCAAAATTTTGATACAAAATGTCAATGAATTGGCATAAAACATTCATGGAATGAATGGACGAAAAATAAATAAGTCTGTCTTTCACAAAGCATGCTCAAAATACCAATCAATAATTCCCAAATTCATAAAGATTTTTGATTGATTATTGCCAATGAGAAAGTTGATCCTATTGCTGAAGAAAAACATGAACTAAACAGTTCAATAACTGCAAAGTGATGATTGGAGGATAGAAGCAAACATTACCATTATAAATCTATACTGCTCTGATTGGCCAATGGATACATTTACAAGTTATAACAGTACTGGTTCCATTCCAAACTTTAACCAAAATGTTTTATTGAAATGCATATTTTTTTTATTTTCAAAAAGAAACAAAGAGGATAAGCATTAGGAGGCAAATCATCTTCACCATGCTTTGAATAATTGCTCTCTTAATTCCTCTGGAGGTTTGAGTATTTCTTCTCATAAAATTCTCTTTAAATACCATTCTCTCATTAGATACGGGTTCATTAGTCACTTTCTAAAATTTATACAGTTGTTTGAATTTTGAGATTATGAGAAAATGTATTAGTACTCAATCAGTTATACATTGTAAATTCCGACTGTAAATAAATTAACCAGCAATATTTCTGTTTAAAAACTTGTTCAGGTTTGGGAAATATTAAAAAGTAGAAAAATATAATTTAACCCTAACCCTAATCTTAAAATTAAGGGCACATGTTGAACATGTGTAACTACAACACAAGTCTGTCTTATCAGCATCTGGCATTAAGTTTTCTGCTGAGTTTTTAGAGCAGCAAATACCGACAATATGTTGATGAATATCTATGGGAATTATGTTTATTAGGACTATTTGTGAAAAAAACTTGAAAGGGTCTATTTGTGTCAGTACTTTTGTGAATTGGTAAATGATTGGAAAAGATGAATTTTGTGGTGATGAACTACAAATACTATGAAACAAAGTTCACAAATGTAACATTATAAGACAAAAAAACTTCTAAATATGATCATGTTTTAATGATTTCTTTTTCTAAATAACAGTTGAATTTTGAGGTTCAACAATTTCTATCAATTTTTAAATGTTATCTTTTAAATTATTGATTGTTTTAGTTAATTCATGGATGTTTCTGTTATTTAATGGACGTTTTCTGTCAGTTCATGGAGATTTAAAATAGGAATTTCGGATAAAGTTCACAAAAATTCCTATAGTTATTATCTACCCAATGTTTACCCAATGTCTCTCAACTACCATAATTAGATGATACTATTAGAAAATAATTAAAAGATCAATCATATGTCCAGTAATATAAACAATTTATTCAGCCTATCAAAGGCAATCTGCATCATAAGCTTTTTAGCATCCTATTCTTGTGATAATGACTTGTATAAATAATAACAATCATAATTACAAGTCCAAGAATCATTGCGGTTAGACCATAATATACTTTACCATTTAAGTGACATTTTAGCAAAGATCTTCGCAGAGGATTGTTCTCGGTTTCAACTTTTGTAGTCTGTCCTGCAGTAGCAGCAGCAGTATTAGCCATTTCAATAGAAGAACTAGTTGTATTAGATTTCAGGAGTGTTTGACATGAAGCAGGTTCATGTATGTGATCAAACACAACTGAAATTGATGCCTAAAAAAGAAAAATCAACACATAATACAGATTATGTATAATAATAGATTTTCGGTTAAAGTCTCCAAAGAAGAAAAATTTAAATACTTTTCTCTTACTTTATCAGTTTCTGCTATATTCATTTTTTCCCTTCAAAATAAGAGATTTCAATGACAATTCAAAAAAAAAATGATTTCTTGAGAGAAATTTATGAATAAAAGAATGGCAGTTAGGGCAGCTTATTATATTAAGTAAGCCAATAAATACCACCACCTACCTTTGTCAATAGTATTTGAAATAAGCATTTACTTAATATTGAATACGCCAATGACAGAAAAAGTGAAAAAGTAGGACAAAAAAGATTAAGGGAAACTAACTCATCTTTCAGTTTATCATTTATATTTTATTCAAGTTATTTCTTAAACCTGTCTCACCAAACCTAAATATTCATAAGTAGTCAATGATAAACTAATAGTCAATAAACTTTCAAACTTACAATTACTTTCTTTATATGTTCTATTTATATCTCCATATGTTTTCTCATCGATCAATTTCTTTATTATGGAGATTATCGCTCACACTTAGTGGGGCTTTGCATATTTTTACTTATTCATTTTCAGTATAAATAAAAGATATCAACTGATTTGAGATCATTTTATGTGATAAATTCTAGAATGAAAATTGTCAGTCTACTATGGTTTATCATATCAATGGCAAATTGCAATACAGTTAAATTAACAGAAGAATTGCAGGATTTAATTGGTTACAAGCTGTGATTGAAATATTCACAGGTAGATTCTAGAGAAAAAATTAACCAATTTTAGATTCAACTTGAAACATCATGAATCATATGTTATCACGCTGGAGATTTTTTTATAATTGTGCAGGTATTTTCTCTCAATCAAAGTGTAGGTTAGGGTTAAGTTAATAAACATTTATTAATATTCAGCTATTTCAATCAGAATTTAAAGTGTCAGTTTGTCTGGATTGTAAAAAGAGAAGGCACTTTCTTAAGATGATCAAGGCATAGAAAATGGTGATTTGGCTGGAAAATTAAGAAATTCAGCATTAAAATGACTAATTCAAGTGGTGGTAGTGATCGTAATTTGGAAATGGATGTGAAATAAAACGTCCACAAATCAGTGCTTTTACCTTAACCCTAACCCAGCCCTTAGCTGTACCTAACCTTTTCCATTACCCCTAACCCTTAGAGGAGACCCTCATAAGTATAAAACAGTTGTTGTTTTCTTCTGCCTAACCGTTTCTCAATCCAAATTTTTGTCTTGAAATTTCTCATTTGTGGACGTTTTTTATCGACCTCTTTGGAAATAAGTGATATTGAAGATATATATATACATTTGAGAAATCAAGAAAATCAGAAGAAGTTGTTAATAAGAAGTGACTTAAAAAGAGAAGTAAAGAAAATCTAATGTTAAGTGGAAGAAGAATTGAAGAAGAGGTATAGATAAATCACACAGATGCTGAACATTTACCAAAAATAACATCCTGTTTACAAGTTATGAATTATCACAAGGAAACAATCATTGAAGAGAATCAGATAGTATTGATTTTTTCCTAAATCATACTTTTTTAACTGACAGATTTTTGAGAAAAGATATTAATGAAAATGGCTTTCATATTACAATATTTGCAAGAAATAAGCAAATTGAACTTACCTCAACTAAAACATGGTTTCTTGATGGCACTTTCAAACATGATCATAGTCCTTTTATATTTTCTATACATGGATTTTTTAAAAAAAATGATGCATTGAAACAAGTACCATTATTAAATGTGTATATTCCAACAAATAATCACTTGGAAGGCTTCCATAGCAAATTCAAATAAAACTTACAAGTTCTTCATTTTATTGCACTGCGGATGATTTGAAGAGAGAATGTGATTTAATTGGAGTTTATCAAAAGCTACTTTCAGAAAAAAAGATTTGTTAGATACAGAAAAGAATTTATGTCAACATTCAGAAGGAAATTTATGTGGCAGTGAGCTTTTGGAGAATTGCTCAGCAATTTATCATGTATAAATCTGTCTGCTATATCTGTTATACTCCATTAATTGTATTACATTTCTTCAATGAACTTGTCAAAAGGCATTATTCACTTGCTCTATTATTGAAATGTAGAATATTATTTTTTCAAATGTAATTATTCAGGGTTAGTAATATTAATAGTTTGGATATAGCTTTCAAATATTGTGGAGCACTTGGCATCACTGAAATCCAATGGGCGTATTCAAAATATTAAAACCAGAAATATATTGACAAATAACAAATTCACTAAACTTTCTATAGAAGGGAACAGAAATGACTGTAATATTCTATTTGAATTTGAGTAAATATTGTAAATTTTAAAATGGCCTACCTAATACTATTGATACTTTCGAAATGGGACCGGTCGAAAACGGCCATAAATGAAATATTTGAAAGTTAGATTTCAGCCTGGGAAATGGTTAGGAGGAATAAGATAACTGTTGATATGTTCTTAGGAGGGTCCCATCTAAGGGTTAGGGGTATTCAAAAAGGTTAGGCAAAAACAAGGGCTGGGTTAGGGTTAGGGTAAAACCATAGATTTATGGCCGTTTTCTACCACATCCTTTCGAAATATATTACTTAATCTGTAAATTTTCATTGTGAAAACTTTCATTCAGTTCTGTTGAGCTAGTACATATTGGAAATTCAATACTAGTGCAATTAATAACTACTAGGATATATCTGACAACTATATGTCTACATTTGGCAAGAGAAGTTGCACTCTTCTTATGAGAACTTTATTAAAAAACTCATTTGTTACTTTTTATGCTAAGTGCAAATTTATTCTCAAAAGCTCTCATGCAAAATATTAAGTGCTTCTGTAGGTAATCTCACTTTAGCCAGGTGAATTAATCTCCCTGTTGCAAGTGTTCATGCATATTACGAATTGTATTCCCTCTTTGCCTTCACAGTTATCTTGACAAGCGCCACGCTGTAAACACAACAGCATAGTTATACATTTTTGTTAGCAACTCAAATAACTTACTTTTTCCATCAACTCTTTTGCAATCAGTGCTTTTAAGTACATCTCATTTTCAAGCATGTTTGCCATTTCCTCTCTCTTTTCCATTTGTTTCAAAATTGATTTCAAACTGGGGTTGGACAGCGAAAAAGCCTGAAGCGAAAGGCAAACAACCAAACAAACAATCAATAATTTTTTATCCATCTTTTCAGAAAACAAAACAATTTTCCTCAAAAGAAAAAGTCACGACTGAAATGAAATTTTCTTTTCTGTTACCTCGGTTTTAAAATGCTAGACCAAGGTCAGAACTGGTTTAAAACTAGTTTTTATAAAAACAGAACTCAATATTGTAAATTTTTAAAATAGGTTCTTTTTTTGCCCAAAGTAGTATTTCAACTATTAAAGTGTCAGTGAGGGGCTTAGGGTTATATCAAATTTATATTACTTTTACAATGAGCAATACAATAATAAAGAAATGCTATGTACAACAGACTGTTTTTTATAAGGGCTATTTTGAATGGTATTCAATTTACGGATGGGACAGAAAACGTCCACAAATTGGTGCTTTTACCCAAACCCTAACCCAGCCCTTAGCTGTACCTAACCTTTTGCATTACCCCTAACCCTTAGAGGAGACCCTCCTAAGTACAAATCAGTTGCTGTTTTCTTCTGCCTAACCATTTCCCAATCCAAAATCTAGTCTTAAAATTTCTCTTTTGTGGATTTTTCTTTTAGGTTTTTCTTCTTTCGCAATTGTTGGATGTAAGGTCAGGTGTTTGTCTCACTCGTGTATACTGGAATTTTTGTCTTTTCAGCTCCCTTTGAACTGTTGCTAAGCTTATGTCAACTTCTAATTCTTTCAAAAGTTTTTGTGCTATAACCCTTTTCTTATTTCTTTTTGGTTTCTTTATTATTCTCTTCATCCTGCCTATGTCTCTCTGTAAGTCTCTTTCGGCGGCCCCTATTCTCCTGTTCTGGTGGATTATATTGTAGAATGTTGCTAACTGATGTTGGTGCCATCCCCAGAACCGTTGCTGTTGTTCTTATTTTTCCAATTTCCTGATATTTCCTTAGTACAAGTTCCCTTATCTCTTTACACCACATCATAGTTAAAAAAATACAATACAAATGAACTAATATAATTAAAATTGACAATAATAGATAAACTTAACTTGGAGAATTAAATAAGTCAAAAAAATTTTTAGTTTGCAACGTTTTTTCAAATGCCAAACTGGAAATGAAGTGTGTGCACCAATAATTATGCAACGAGGCCAAATAAAGAAAAAATTAATGAAAATTAGGCAAAATATTTTGCTAATTATATTCCAAAGTATCATCATTTTCTCAATTTTTTTTTGATATTGATTTTACAGAATTCTCAGTGAAATATTATGTTGGGAATCTATCCAAAATAAAAGAAAGGTAAATGAATTATTATTGATGATAATAGCATTTTTTCATAACTTTTGAAATAAGTTTAAGGGTCGATAGTTCACAAATTTCAATGTTCATAAAAAATAAAAGTAACATTTGAAGACAAAGAAAAGTTTTAAATATGGTCATGTTTTTATTGCTTTGGAGAGTTGCATAACATGTAACAATTTTCTAATTTTGTCATTTGATTCTGAAAATGAAACAAACTCCATTTCTAAGTTTACTGGCATTCCAAAAGTCAATACAAACTGGACAGTATGCAATTTATTAATGATTATAAAAAAGTGAAACTTTAAAAGATTATATTAAGTTACTTGAATCTTTTGAGTGTCTTTCTTGGAAACTGTCTTTTTTACATGATATAATGTTGAATCACAGAATGAGAGTAAAAAACATAGATTAAACTCATCATGGTGGCTAAATTCTTTGGATGAATCAAAACCAAAAATATCCGTATAGGGGAATAAATTTTTTTTCAGAAACTCATTTTACTCTAATTTTGAGGAATAACTTTTTTTTGTGAATAGAATTATATTGTCAAAGAGTATTCTATATAATTTAGTAAAACATTTATTTTTTTTGGCTTTTCAAAGTTTATCTTTTTTTAACTTTTGAAAACAAGTATTTTTTGAAATTATATTATATGATTCAAAAGCAGCCATAAATATCCATACAAATATGTTTTTAATCTTAATTATTTTTAGAATATGTTAGAAAACGGCCAGAGCTTTGATTGAAAACGACCAAAGACCTAGTTTTACATAAATAGTAATAATTATAAATAAAAAAATATTGATTACGGTAAAGGATGAGAATAATTTGAAGACATTTATTTAACGAAAGTGAAACAAGATAAAAAAACTAAAAAAAAAGAAGCTACTAAAAATAACTACTTCGACTATAAAAGTGAAACATATCTAATATGAAAAATATATTTTAGAATAACTAATTCCATTAATTTATCAGCAATAAATACCTTTTATACATTTTAAGTTGTACTTTCCTGCTGGGGTTGTAGGTAAGTACTGGTCCAAATAGAACCAAATTAGGAGTTAGTGGTAATAACATTCACATTGCCATTACTGATTAATTAATTTCCGGAAATGAAATTTTCTAGAGTTTTTGGGTAACGAACATTTTTGACATTAATAAGCCAACATTCCAAATTATCTCTCCAAAGAGAGATATATTTATATCTTATATTTTATTCCTATTCAGACAAGTAAAACACACTATATTTATAGATTAATTAATAATAGACTATATTAATAGATTCAATAACTAAAGAGTCCCAGCTAAAAAATTATAGGGAGTGGGATGAAACGGATTTGACAGAAAACGTCCCCAAATTCATGGTTTAACCCTAACCCTAACCTACCCCTTGTCTCTCCTTAACCTTTTTGATTTCTCCTAACCCTTAGATGGAACCCCCCCCCTAACTATAAATCAAAAGCTACTTTACTCCTCCTAACAATTTTTCAATCCGAAATGTTGCTTTCAAAAATCTCATTTGGGGACGTTTTCTGTCGGCCCCAGATGAAACCATAATAGGTTAAGTTGGCAGGAAAATATCACAAAATTTAAAATTAAAATTTTGTGCTTTGTTGTAATATAATTTATAGGAATTTCTTCTTCACATCAGTAATCATCATATCCAATCATTTACGAATTTGCCAAAGTACTCACACAAATATAACCTCGAGCTCGTCCACTAAATACTAAGCTTGTATTAAAAGAATTTAGTTTTAAATAATACAAATTTAATAGAGAAAGTTCAAAGTTATTCAAAAATTCTATCATTTCTTAGTTCTATAAAATAAAAGCCTATCTAAAGTTTCATCATTCTAATTCCCAAATATAAACATGTCACTACTTCTAGGTGTACAAATTTTTTTTGTTTATAATTAAACAAAAGAATGTTGAAAGAAATTTTAAACAATTGGCAGAAAGATAGGCCTTCCTACTTTGGTTAAATGAATGTTACATAAATATTACTTTTTATTAAAAGATTGATTCAAAATTTATTCTTTATTCCATATTGTAAAAGGAAATCAATAGGCATCTTTGAATTATTAGCATCAGGGTAAACTTTTATGTTTTATTATTGAAATGACAATGAAATGTCTCAAAAAATGAATTAATCATTTCATATTTAATTTTACTTATTCAGTTACTAGAATACACAAGTAGAAATCAATTTTTAACTGCAGTATGCAAAAATTACACATGAAAATGTGTCTTTCATTTCAAGAGTTGACAGCAGTATGAATTTTTCTTTATATTACAAATATTTTCCAAGTTTATTGACAATATTCTTCAATCTATTAAACATCAATGAAACTTTTCAAACAAGTATTCAATATTTTAATTTTTGGTTATTTTTTTACTTGTATGTTTACAAATGATATTTTCAAAAATAGACGGAAAAAAAATAAATGTCTGCAGAATTAAAAATGGCGGAACTTGTTCAGCTTCCAGTGTTCTAGCAAATCTAAGGGATTATACGTATAAATGTGAAAATGCCCTTGAACCTCAATGGATCAACCACAGAGATTGGGCTTCAGATTGTTTAGAAGAAAACACTTGTTCCTTAGCATATCTACTCATTAACTTTAAACAAAAATACGACATTGCAGAAATCTGTATTGAGCAAAGATTAGCATTAGTGTCATTCCTAACAAGAAAAGTAAGAATAGAGTACAGTAATGGAAGAAATACTACTCATACACTCGATAGTAATCAGTATCAAAAATGCTACCTTCTACCTGGAGAAACTGGTAAACAAAACAATTGGATAAAAGTGTTAACTCTTGAGGGGTATGGGACAACGAAACGAGGATTGGGTAGCGTTATTGTTTACGCTTTCAATGGTAGAATATATATTTCATTATAACTTGATTAATTAACGAACTATGCATGTTTCCTAGGTGATGATACAAATAGTAATGATGAAATTCATTATACAAACATTGCTGAATTTTCTAGTTGTTCTGCTCCCTATAGTGGTAATATGAACTGTCAACGTGCCCTGAATTACGATTCAAATGAAAATTTACTGGGTGGTTGGATAACCTCTTGTGCAAGAGGCAATTGTTTTGGCCTAACTTATGAACTAACCTTTCCATTTACAGTTCAACCAAAAATTACTTGTGTGGCTGGAAGGTAGTAAGAGTGAAACTTTGAAATCAGTGTGAGTCTCTAATTCTAAGTTTTCCTTCGCCCTTGACAGAGAGTTTGGAAGTTACACAATACCTCTAGAAATTAAAGCTAAATGGAGTTCAAATTTCATACAGTTTTTTACATTTTCTTTCTCAAGACTCAGACAATGTTTTGAATACACAAAAGATTTCTTTGAAACTGGTGTAACACTTAATATTACAAAATATCATGAACCTGCTAGGGCAGATAATGTAGGACTTGCTTATGTTAATGTTTACATTATAGGTTTGCTTTTAATATTTGAAATATATTAAACACACCTCATCATAGAATTTTGTTTTCTTTTTTTTCATTCCATGATAGATACACCTCAAAAATTTTTCTTCATAGAATCAACCGATGAAGTCATTTATCATTTCTCTACTCAGTTTCTTTCACCAATGCAACTTTTTAGTTTTGGTGTCAAAGTTAAAGGAAATGGTAATTGTCATTCTTTCATTATTAATTTGATGAACAAAGATGGAGAATCAAAGGTTAAGATAACATTGGATGTTGAAAGCATAACTGTTCTTATAAATGGTACATTAAGTCATATTGGTAATCAAACTAATAATGACCACCTTCTACTTTGCAATACTTGGAAAGATTTTTGGATTTCCTTAATAGGAAATGATCTACAAATTGGAAAAGGTCAAGTTTATAATAACAACCTTCTTTACAGCACCAAAGTAGCTAAAGATAAAGGATATGTGACGAAATTAGAAGTAAACAATGGGGAAACATCCACAGTATCCATATTTAGAGTTAATAGTTACAATAAAAACTATGGCTTAAAGATTAATGCTATATATCCTCTCGGCTGCTCCACACCTCTACTGGAAAACCTTCATGATTTCAATACTTCTACATGCTTTTTGGTCAAAGAAAGTCCATACATTTTTGAAGCAATTAGAAATGATGGCAATTCATTTGGAATTCTAAAGAATCTTATTAAAATAACTCTTAAATTTATATCAAGTGATGACAAAAAATCAATTGCAATTTACCTTTCATTAGCTGAAATTGGAAAGCAAGTATCAAACTCTTGTCCACTTTCCAGTATGGATCAGCTAAATGAAGAGAATTTATGGGAATATGAATTTGATTGTGGATACAACAAAGCAATAATAGAAAGGATAGTAATTATTATTACAGCAGATTTTATCTCAAACTCATTAGTGGAACTATGCGAAGTGAATTTTTTGTGAATTTTTCATTGGTGAACAGAAACAGATGTATAAAGTAGTCCGCAAAAATATTGGTGCCCCCTAAATTTTGATAGGCCGAACAATAAAAATCTTTTTCACAGGGAAAAAAGATTTTTTTTTTTATTTTTGTTGTCTTAATTACTAGATTAAACATAGATATATATATGAATAGATATATATCTTCGAAACAAAATTTGGGTAAGTTTTTATATAATTTTTTTGGTTTTATATAATGTATTGTTTTATTGATTTTTTTTCTTATTTGCAAAATAATTGGTTTAATGTTCATATTTTGTCTATTTTTCTATGTAGCCACCCTCTTTTTCTAAACACTTGCTCACTCTATGCCCCATTCCCCTGTATAAATGCTGATGGTCTTGTTTGACCTTAATTGAATAAATTATTTTTTTTAAATTGGCTTTTAAAAATCTCTTTGTGTTGACCTTTCTTTAATTGCCAATTTATCATTTACTTTTATCATACCTTTGTGCACTTTATGATGGTGACATAATCTTTTGCATAGAACTACTTTGACTCAAGTCTTGCTGCTCAGTTGAAACTGCATTTTAATAATAATAATGTCTTAATAAATATAGATTACACCAACAATGAATAAAGTGATAAAACTCAATTTTATGCTCGTTTAAATATATTTCGTGCACACTTTCCATTGCAGATGTTTTCCATGATCCCATAGTTAATCTAGTATGCATCAGTGATGTTTTTCTTTTTATTGATGAAAATAAGAATTCACAACTAAATAGGTTTGAGCCTATTTCACCTGAACATATCAATCAGAGAGAAAAGCAAGTTTAAAAATTATGAGTTCCACCAAGATTCTTTAGTTCTTTATAATGTTATCCAGCCTTAAATTGTAAAGTCTCAATACATGGCTTTGTTGTTCAATCATTTTTATAATAAACACTGCAATAACACATTTGTCAGTATGAATATTCAAGTATATATGCAGCGAGGAAGATTGTTGATCAGTGATTCTTGATCCGTGATCCGCAATATCCCATCAACTGCAAAATGTTGAAATCAAAATTTTTCCAAACTTGGAAATACCCAAAAACTCATGCTAAACTTTAGCTTTCAGCGCTGTTTTTTCACAAGCACTTGGGACTTGGGGATCAGGTTAAAGAAAACGCACATAAACTATGGATGTATTCAAAATATTTATAAAAACTACAATAGTATACAAAGTACTGTTATGTTCCAACAATACAGTCAAAACTTTTCTCATGAGTTAATATGTTTTCTCAAAGCCTGCTATATAATGAAACAAAAAAATATAATTAAGGTGATATAAAAATATTACATAGTTAGGGAGACTTATTACTGAGAGACATCTCACAAAATAGACTTAGGAGTCTTGCATTTTTTAGTGTTAAGAATGATAGGTATGATGACAGACTGAACACATATTTTATTTAACCCCCAACTCTTTTGCACAATTAGTATAAAATATTCTTCCAGATTGTACTTTCCCGCTGGGGTTGTAGATAAGTACTGGTCCAAATAGAACCGAATTAGGAGTAAGCCACTTAGAAGAGAGATGTAGAATTGAGGAAGGATCAATATAGAACCAAAACATAAGAATAATATAACTATATTCTAAAGTAATACTAGACCTGTTCACTAAGGGAGTTGATTCAGGACTGAATGCCTGTTACTACCTATGCCCTGCTTTTATACAATTCCTTATCAGTTGTTTATGCCTTAGCTGTCGACAACAGAAGGGTCTAACCCCAGATAAGGATTGTTCACAACAAACAGGGTCAAGGGTTATCAAATTATGCAATAGTGATGTAAACAACAACAACTTTGTGTAGGTTACCCCTCAAGGGTCAATTTATGTAACTAAACACTTGTTGTTGTCAGCATGTTTGATTATGTAATATTTTATCCTTTGCCTATAAAAGGGGTTGATTCTGGCAGTTTGGTACCATCTACCCCAGAAGCAACATCTACTTCAAAACTTCTACCATATGGTAAGTGTTATTTATAAAATATCTATAAACTATAGTTCATAAGTGTCCACAGATTTTAAATTAAAAATGGAAAAAGTGAATAATTTGAAAGAAACTTCTAAAACTACCTTTGATATATTTGGCATCTACATATTATTGACAGTGCACTGCATTCCATCCTCCTCTGTCTATCATAAAAAATTTTTCTTATTCAAAAGAGATACAGCCTGTCATGGCTAGAATACTACAAAACTAAAAATAGGCTGAAAATCAGTTGAATATAAATTAAAAAAGAGAAATAGTTTTCCATGCATGTAGATCATTAATCTTTGAAAAACCTATTAATTCATTAGAGATTACAATCTGAGTTAGGAGTAGGAGCATGTTCAGAACAGGAACAATCTTAGGAGCAAAATTAGGATTTATATTAGCCAGTTGAAGAGTCGCATAAGATGTAACAATTTTAATAGTACAAGTCCATTAATCAAGAAAACATAAGCATAGTTGATCATTTTTATATTCTATCTTTGTTTAACTAATAGATCATATTATGAATATTTATAAGTAATACATCTACAAAGAAATGATAAGGGGCGAATGAAAACAATTGATCTTAAACTATAACGTAGCAAACGTAGACTAGGCGTAACAAATAATTTGGCTCGCAGCCAAATTTAGGTAATGTGCTCATCGACTACACTGGCCGGGGAAGAGAAGAGGAGAGAGCTTCCTCTGGTAGCAAGGGTATAATATCTCTGACATCTCTCTCTATATTACTGTGTCCTGTAATTTTACAGGTTATTCTCCCTAATTTAAATTTGTATATTGATCTTTAATCCTAATATAGGATAGTGTCTCCCGGATACAGCTTCATCTTGTATTTGTCCCTGAACCATTTTGTGCATTTGTGTATGCCGTTGAATAATACTGTGCAACATTTGTTGTTTAGAACCTGATGCTCACAATACTATAATTGCAGGATATCTCTGCTTTTTAGTTATTTTACTGCACATCCAAATACTACTTTTAAAAGTTTTAGCCTTGAGTGTGAATGAAAATCCATTGTTTATCAGAATTTCCTTTCCTAGTTGGCTTCCACACCTAATTATTTGAAAATCATTATCCATAACTTCTTGGAAAGTGTCAACAGCATTCTGAAGTTTTAACTGTCAACATGAGAAAATTATGAAATGAAACGATTTCACCCAGGTATGATTTCACCCTCAAAGGATACAATTTCACCCCCAATGACTACAGTTTCACCTATATTTGTTTAGCACATGTTTCTTCAAATACAATTATAGTATTTGGCTTCATGAAATCATTTCAAAATTGTTTTTGCATTTAAGTAGCTATTTGTTTTTCTCAATAAGACATTTTATTTTAAGCAATTATTAAAAAGATTTCAAGTTTTCCTTTACCCTAAATATAATATCATAGTTGGTTGTGAAAGAGCTCAAAGTTATATTGAAATCAAACTAAGGACAAAAGTAAATTGCAATTTATTAGAGTTTGCTTAGAACTAAAAGTAAAATAAGAAAAAGAGAAATATTAAAATATTTCTGAAATTAATTTATGATTCATAATCCAAAAAACAAATTTAGAAAAAATGATCGTACAGATACACAACCAAAAATAATAATACATAAAGTAAATGTTCAATACAGCAATACATAATACTTTTAATTTAATATTTGGAATCATATCATAAAGGTGAAATATATTTAGAAGAAAAAGACTGTAAAATTCAGTTGGCAAACAAAAAGAGTTGAACAAAAATCTCATATAAACCAATCTAAAATTTTCTATAAATATGGTATCTAAAATAGTGAGAAAAAGAAGTAAACATATTGGTATGTAACCTACTATATTCGGTAGTTTTTCATAACCTGCAATGTCTGATAACTTTCCACACATGAAATTGTAAATTACTCCAATAAACATAAAATCCAAATAAAAAGGAATCATCCTTGTCCAATTTGTGTAATTGATTCTATGGACTTTATTCTTTTCAATTGGTAAATAATTCTTAACAATCTCATTTTTAGCATCAAAAATTGAAAATTTAGTTTCTGATTTAAAGCCATCCACTTCCATTAATAATTCATTTGTTGGATTATCCAGTATGAGAATTAACTTTTTGTTGCGTTCATGATGAAAATTATATAAGCCATTTTCATTCACAATACAAAAATAACTACTCCAATAATTTTCAATTGTTTTTAACCACTTTTCTATACTTATTTCACAAAAAGTTGGATATAGGCCTATTAATGTTGGTGGATTATTAAACACTAGTTGAACAGTTGATTCATTTGAAACAGTTTGGCAATATTGTAATGATTTTGTACAATCCTTTTCAAGGATTTTAATGGAATTCTCAACATTTTTTCGTTTGAATTCATTCAATTTTGTTTTTAATATCTGGTTAATTGAATCATTGTAACTGTATTTTATTAATGTCAAATTTCTATTATTCCAAGGTGAACGGAATAAATTATAAACAGCATAGAAATGTTTAACACTTGCATCCTGAATTACCATCATCTTCAAAAAACTTGTGTGCCAGATCATTCTTTAATTCTGATGTTACCACTATCTCATAAACAGAATAATCTATAATAATATCTTTAATTATTATAAAGAATATAGCTGAGAAAATGTAAAACATGGCAATAGTGGTGATAATCAGCTAGTGATATGAAAATTGGCATAAAACCTGTGGTTATAAAAACCTTATGAATCATATAGTTAATAGGGTATTTCATTTCATCAGAAACACATTTTTAGAAAACCAGAGACTTTAAGAATTATAATTATATATAAATTTCTAAAAATACCTTTGTAACTGAGAGTTGAGCAATATACAGTATATTGCTGAGCTATTATATATATTTTGAGTTGAGCTATTATATCTATATATATCAAAAAATCTTAAAAGCATGTACAAATTTTTTGGAAAATATCAAGTGACTTTTAGTCTTAATAAGCTATTTACAAAACCAAAAGTAGGAAATAGAAACTTAAAAGGTGAATCATTAGACAACAAAAAAAACTAGTATTCATGATGTATTTTTATTATTCACATATAGAGGTATGAAGTAAATAAGAAAAAAATAAGCTTAACAGATAATTTGACCAAGTGAATCTAAACTATAGAAAAAATTCATTGTAATATCAAAATATCACTTGTATAAGTTTCAAAGATTATTGTAGAATAAATAAAGTAAACATCAATCATTGCAAAATTCACTCTATCTAAAAATAATAATACATAAAGTAAATGCTCAATACAACAATAGATAATACTTTTAATTTAATAGGAAATTTTCCTGGTTATTACAGATTATCTCCCATTGATTTGTACAAATGTTACCCTATGTTTGTGCTTAGTAACATAATTTAACTAATTTAACTGAATATTTATAGATTTATTTTCTGATCATATGAATTGAAATTCTTGGATATATTCCAGTTGATAAATGCTGCTTATTGGAATTTTTTCCTGGTTAACCAGAGAACATTTTACTGTTTTTAACAGTTTTTACTTTAAGTACAGGAAAATTACAAATGATAAGTTTAAAGTCTGTTTAGTTACAACACACAGACTGACAAACATCTTTGAGTAAAAACACAAAATTGGGTAACATATTTCCAAAAATATTCATCTTTAAATTTTCCAATTCAAATGACAACACTTTTACACATTGATGAATTGAATGAGAGAAACATTGTTTCTTTCCAAAATTTGCTTAACCCCTACAAAAGACAGAAGTGTTTATTTATAAGAGGAACTGGCAGATCTGGCAAATCACTTTTTCATTCTTGCCTTTTGAAAAACTTTAGATCAACTGAAGAACTTTTCAAATATTTGAAACAGCAGGAGAAAATGATTCTGCAACCAAAGGTAAAGGAATAAAATAATTTATATTTTAAAAGTAATCATCAGTAAATTCAAAATATGTATATAAACTAAATTTCATAAAAATTGGAACACCTCAAATTTTGAATAGGCCAACATATTAAAAATGTTTTTCTCTACGAAAAAAGATTATTTTTTAATTTTTTCTACATAAAATGTTAGATGAAGCTTAAATTTATACATAATTTTCTTTCAAATATGATATAGGTAAGATTTTATACCATTTTTTTTTGTTTATATAATGTGTTGTTTTATTGATTTTTTTTCTTATTTGAGTATATAAACCCGACGAAAATAACAGTTGATAGTTCAGTTCTCTAACCGTCAGCTGGTTGTTTAAACTAGCTTGTTTAGAAATAGAAGCTCATTTTACTTAATACATATTCTTTGGACGAAATACTCGTGTTTTGTTGATTAATTTCTACCAAAATTACATTTGTTAGACTATTTGTGGACGAACTTTAAAGGTTCTATTGGGACCAGTACTTTGGCAGATTGGTAAATGATTGGAAAGGACAATTACAGTTGTGACGAACTAGAAATTCCTACAATTACAATACAACATAATACAAATGCATACTTTTCCACCTCTCTCTTCATAATTAAAATTCTTTTATTAGCATTCTTTGGATAAAACAATCATATTGATTTGATAAATAATTTGTTGGGTGTAAGATATAAATCAATTGCTCTTGGCTTATGATTGTGGAATAAAAGAACATTTATATTATATAATAATGAATGACATTTTTTGGAGGAAAATCTATTGAAAAGTTATTTTTTAAAATATATAAATTACTTGAAAATCATATAAAGTGATGTGAACAATACTAATTTATAATTCAACCATTTCAAGTGAAATCTACTGCCTTCCGATTCAGAGAATAATGAATAATAGAATTTGAAAAGTTCATGACATTCAATGATTTAATTAAGAGAAATTCATTACTTCTCACACACATTACAAGTTACATCAAAATATTTGCTGGGAGCTTAGAGAATGTTGCTACTTCACAATGAATAGGGGTGAAATCGTACCTGAGTGAAACTGTACCCATTTTGGGTGAAACCGTACCCATAAAAATATTAGGTATTTTTAATTTTATTAATACTAAAGAAAAGTATATATAATAATAAGAAAATGATAATAGCTTAAGAAATAACTTTGAAAGATAAAAGAATGGAAAAACCTATTTTTTTTCTACCGAAATTACATTTATTAAGACTATTTGTAGACAAACTTTAAAGGCTCTGTTTGTGTGAGTACTTTGGAAAATTGTATTGGAAAGGATGATTACTGTTGCGACGAACCAGAAAATCCTACAATTAATTAAATTGTTAATACAATAAAGTACAGCAAGAGCAGTCTATTTTTTTAACACTTAGAAATATAAGGTTGTAGAAAGAGTTTAATGAACAGACTGTTCCATTTCTATGGCTGTAATTTAATTATTTTTCATTTTTTATTTATTTATGAGTGAAATTATACATAAAAGTCAATTATTAAACACCAGGCGAGACTATAACTATTTTCTTAGAGATGAGGAGCTTAGACCAGGGTTAGGTTATGAAAGATTTTTGAAATTTGGAAAACTAATTCAAATAACTTTTGGCTAGGACAAAGCTAAAACTTTCAAATTAGGAACAAATTTTTTCCATACCCAATCAAAAATTTGAGTTTATTGTTTAATTCTTTTATCTGTGTCATTCCACAAAAATTTTGTCTGTAATGCTGGTTGGAAGATAACTCAGAGGAATTATAACATATTTCGCCATATTACCAACTGAATATCTATTTTTAGGCCACACAGAAAGAATGGCATGTTCATAAGCATTAGTAACATCCTCTACTCTGTCATTCAACGGAATTTCTGCAAGCTCATACAAAACTAAAAAATGTTGTTGTTTGTATATATTGCAAATAGGAAAAAAATTTACTTACAAATCTGAAGATAATCATCTACAGTTGGATATTTTTCCTTTGAAAATTTTGATACTCTTTTATATCCTTCTACGACACTCTTTTCAAGTTCATCCTCTTCAGCTATAGTAGTTGAATATGCCTCTGGTTCAATGGTATGAACAGAAACATTCCAATCATATTTTTTCAATTGAAAACTTTCGAATAAGAAACTTTTATATAATAAATGTATGAATAATAATGATAGTTTTCTTTTTTTACCTTAAAATGGATGATAAACCCTCAATACAAAATTTAGAAATACCATAAAAGAAGTGTACAGATGGAACTCTTCCAGCCAATGATCCCATATTTATTATTCTACCTTTTCCCATATTTAACAATTCAAGAAATTTAAAACAAAGTACTGCTGGTGCAACAGAATTTATTTTTAAAATTTCTGTTAAATTTGACATTAATAAAGTCTCTGGGGAGCCATAATCTTTTCCAAGAATTCCTGCATTATTTACTAAAGCGTGCAAACCTTTATCACCTACTTTTTTTGTAATCATTTCCTTTAAATTATCAATTTCATCTTCATTAGTAACATTTAAAATGTAAGTTGTTAATTTCATTGAACAACAATCAGATAATTGTTTAGCTCCATTCTCAGTTAGACAAGTTGCTATAACATTTATTCCTTTATTATCTAAACTTTTTGCAAGTAAATTTCCAAATCCTTTAATAAAAATTTTTAAATGGGGATATTATAAAAAATACCATCAAAACAATATAAATATATGTTACCTGTGTCACATCCTGTTATCAGAACATACTTATTCTCTAGGTCACTTATATAAAATGACCTAAGAAATTGTTCTATATACCTGATTAAAACTATAGTAACACCAATCGAAAGTAATGTAATGAACATGTCTTTCAGTTTTGAACTGATACACCATATAATATTGTTATGCACTGCATCCAAATAATTTATATTGGCATACATCAAGTTTAACATCAATTTATTTTTAAAAAATTGGCTTAGAATCTGATTTTTTACCAATAGATAAGAGATTAAAATAACAATGATAAATTGATTAAATATATTAGATTAACCTTGTCTGAATACATACTTACCTGGATTGTTTTGAAAAATGTAGCATATCAAGGTGAAACAGATGTTAGTTATGTCTAGCGATTGTATACAACTCGACTTAATTGTATTTTAAATAGATTTTATATTACTAAATGCTCAATTAAAGCCAGATAATTGTTCAGTTTTTTTGATTGAGAAAATATCCCAATAGGTAAAGTATGTTCAAGGCTATCTTTACCAAAAAATTGTAATGGATATTCTTGAATTAGTTTTTTTAAATTGATAAAAAAAACCTTTTTTAGGTGCATTCAATAATATTATGTTTGTTGATACAAATGGAAATAATAAAAAAATTATGATGTATTATGAATATTTTGTACAACTTTGGTTATATTTTACATGCTTGAACTCTATTATTTTATGTGACTTATACATGTACATCTTAAAACCTACGCAAGAAAATGCTATAACATTGGCCAAACATAAGTCTGATTAGTCAGCTTGAAGGCTCATCTTTAATTACCAATAAAGGTTTGGCCAAGTTATAATTCAATTAACCTTCCTAAATGTTGAACCTTGTAACATCCTCTTACTAAAGATAAATATGAACTACAC